CATTAGCATTTTTACTATCAGAGCTTCTTATTTGATTAATTCTTTGAACGAATAAAAATAAAATTAAATGGGTGTGCACAATTCTATCATTGCAATTTTTGTTTTGCTGATAAATAAAAAAGCCAAGTAACTAAACAACGAGTCGTATAAAACTCGTAGATATATTAGAAAAGAAAAATTATATGTAACCTGCACTTTATGTTGAATTTATTCTCCTCGTATAAGAATGATTAACGAGCCAGGACAGAAACTCATTCGTTTTCTCTTATCCTTAAATCGCGCACTTGTATTTATATGACAGTGTCACTGTAATAACCAGAACACGGAAATTTGAAGCTTGAATCGCGCTCTGCTTTAAACAAATTTCACAATTGTTCTTCGTTCAGCATTCACCGCTCGTAAACCGCTCGTTGTTCACGAGTTTTGCAAACGTTACGATTCTCGTAAAACGATCTGCTTTCGTATTAATTACTTGGTACGTTTCCACGAGCCAACACGCTCTGAACTTTACCTCTATTTAGGTAATAAAAAAGCGTGGAGGAGCAACCTTATCGCTTGGGAAGAATGTCGGAAAATTGAAAGCTCAGAAGATCGAGTAGACACGATGTGAAATAATAATTCAGCGCGAACTTGAAGCTATAAATCAAAAACTTCCACAACAGATACGAAAGCTTACAGCTTTAATAACCCTGGCAAACTCGACTTTAGACACTTAATCATAAATGAAAATCACCAAATGGTAATGTAACGAGATACATGTCGTCTGGTGAAGTATCGAAGTGAACTTTTCTAAAATTCACATCGCGTACGGTTTAGTGATACAACCATAAAGGGGAGAAACGTTTCCTTGAAATGGTGGAAAGTCTCCATGTAAATACGTCAGGGTAAAGTGAACACGTTCGTCGCTTAAGAATTGAGCCGTTCGTCTTTCCTCTTTTTTCGTCGAACGTGATCGAAAAGCTACCAATATTTCGCGACGGTTTTCTGCATGTACAACGCCCATGATGAAGTTGTTTCATCGTTGCTTTTAGAGAAATGTTTCGGCGAGGATCGAATTGCAATGAAAATTCAAATTGATCGACAGTGGATAGTACAAGCACCAGTTCCACATTTTAACAAGTTACTTTAACACGTCCGCTGCCACGGGGTTATAAATTTAATTATAAACTAGGAACTTTGAAAAATTTGTCAATAAAGTAGTTGGTGAAGAACGAAAGTTGGTAAATACTTAATAGAAATTTTCCTGAAGGCTTAACGTATCACCGTTTCGATGGGCAAAGATTTTCTCAACAAAGCGATCCCTGGATCACCATAATTCTCCGTCATAATATCACGCGAGAAGGGGGATTTATCAGTCGAAAAACGTCAACCAAGATATACTTTTAACCCTGTACGATCCATTGTAATCCCCAGGCAACACTTTCGCCGCCGCAAACATATGAAAGTTGAGGAAAGTTTTAGGCAGAACGGGACAAATTCCATCATTTTTCTTCGACTTTTGTCTTGTTTCGCAAAGATTTGCCGATAACCCTCGTCAGAGCGTGAGGGATAAAATTATAGCATAAAATTATGGGGATCATCGAGTATCGCATGATTCTTCGATCCCCTGTGATTTCCTTTCCCATTTATTGCACGTCAAAGTGTTGAAAAACAAAATTTTCTAAACAATTAATATCGAAACTGCATTTCTGAGAAAAAGATAGATTCGACTGTAATTAGCGTGTAATGTTAAGATGGTCAGAAATAATTAGAAGACTCCTACTACCCCTTTGATTTGCTACGATCGATAACATAAATTGTCGATGCTGTTCACGTAGAAAAAAAGAAACAAAAGGATTCGAATTCAAATTCAAAGGATAACCAATTAGCCAGTTCGTTATCTGGTCGAATTCATTGTCTGAATACAAAGTAAGCTTAAAAATGCTATAGCTCGTCATCAAAGAGATAGAAACAGATGAATCTTCATATCCATTATGTACTGTTTTCATTGATTGCCAAACGAATTGGTTTTTTATTGAATCTGTCCAATGGATATTTGGTCTTTTCCGGTTAATCAGTTCGATACGTGAAACTCTATTCAAATCCGGTAGCTATTACAGCTGTCAATTTCGAATAGCCGGAACTTTGATCTTTTGCTATTTTGTTTTCACCTTGGAAATACGATCCAGAGGATTTTCAGCGAAGTAAAATCCAGGCTAGCTAATGGAAACGCCAGGATAAAAGTATGGAAGATTAGGCTTCAGTTTATGTCGTCACCTTATGCATTTAGACGCGCGATTAAAACAAGTTTCTTGAGACGATTGGAATTTTTACACGATTATTTATCATCCAATCAGGGATCCGACTAATTAGCTGTAAATTTGCTTTTCTTATTACATTTATAAATCATGGTTATCATGAATTATCGGATGAATTTAAAAAGAACAATTGTTTCCTTCTTCTTCACCAATGCAGAAAACTTTTCGCATACAATAAATAATGAAACCAGTTCGATCAATTCTTCTTCAGACACGTCTCTATCGAAGCATTGTAGGTGTTTCAATCCTTCGACGATAAAATTTCAATGTTCCTGATTTCCATAACGGTCTGACGCACATCTGTGTCACTTCTAAATGTCTTTTCCGTTGAACTGTTGTTCAAACGTCGAAACAGCGGGTAGTCCGACGATATGAGGTTTGGACGAGGGAGATTTTCATGGTTAAACTGAGAAACTTTATGGATGGTACTTCTTGAAATAGAACATGTTTGTTGCCCATAGCTGGCTATTTTGATAATTTTAACAGTGCTTCCTAACGAGCAATGCGCTTAATTGATCAGCTAATAAGCGCATCTCGTGGCCAGCATAGGCAAACGTTCTCACAGGAGTTAGCTGCATTTAATGGCGCACTTTGCATTCACGAAATTCCCACCGCTGTTTATTTGTCTTCGACGTTTCACGAATGCGCATGTATTTTCCGCGTTACACAATGTTACCACAGAATTTTCCTGGAGGAGATTCATCCAACGAATTTACAGTTCCATTAAGATTTTTCAATGAACGAAAGTGATTCGTTTAATAACAGAAATTTATCACGTCGAAACGGAACTCGGTTACGCGATATTTCCCTCTCGAACACTATTTGCGAAATCATGTTCGCGTCAGAGCCCGGAACGATTTGCAGATTGAATTTCTCCTCGCATGCTCGTCATTTGGTCATCCGTTGGAAATCCACGAAGCTAAAAAAATCGAAAAAACGCGAACGGAATCGCACACATTATTCTACCCTAACTTTCACCCCACCCCCACCTGTCAGCGTCAAACTTCTATGAATAAATCTTCGCGAAGCCTCACCCTCTGTCTCTTCCACCATCGCTGGCCATTTTCTTTCTCCTCTTATTTATTTTCTTTACCATATTTCCACTGATTTATTTTCATAGTTTCCTCGAGTCTCGCTGAAATGTTGTGACCTTTCTTCGGTTACGAAATAACCGAGTCACTCAGAATGGATTGTTTCAATCCGGAAACAGCTTTCACGCAAAACAGTGTATTAAATTGAATATTAACACACCTTTTTCGTGAAAGGTTAGAGGATCTATCCTTCAGGTAAGTGGATGGAATAAATGGGATATAAGCAAAACGATCGAAGGAAAGTGAAAACGTAGAAACATAGGGGGTGGTTCGAACGAAAGCTGCGATCAGAGGAGCACGACCCCGAATTCTTGCACCCTTGGGAAGTTATTCTATTCTGAAGCCATTTCCACGCGGAAAATAACGATAGTAGAGAATCAACGACAACGGTGAAACAGGGGTTGAAAGTATGGAGGGGTGAAACGAGAGATGAATGGAACGGGTTTTCATAGAAACGATGATGGTGCTCCAATCAAGTTATATAATCAAGTATTTCTTATAACATAACCTTTTTATAAATATAAAATAAACAAGTTATAAATTAAATTTCTCGATTAATCACTGGTTTCTTGAGTTTCCCAAATATTTCCCCACTGTCTGTTTTTATTTTTCACACCCGTAGTAACAATGGACGTACACCTACGTACTGAACAAAAAGTAAATGGGTCAATTTAGTGCCCTTGTCCAGATATGGATCGAAATATTGATGGAGTAGCGACCTTTTCACCCAAACTACCCTTTGGATTTTTTTCTATGGGGTTGTATGAAATCAAGGGTATATTTGAATGGAAAGGCTGACATACGTGGGTGATCGATAATAAACATCAATGAAGCTGTTGTTGATATTGGAAATGATTTTACCGAGATTCGGTGGATATGGATAATGGGTACACGCCTACCCGCGTGCATAGTTTTCAACAATTCACGTACGATATGTCAATGTTAAACACAATGCTCTCGTACGCTGTCTCGTGTTTTAATAACGCGAATTGAAATAGATTTCTCCAAACGAGAAATCGAACAGCTAATGGGCTGTTCCATTTGGGCGAAATTGTTTTGCTAGGCGGAGCAACAAGCGGAATGAGACCTGATGGTCCTGCGAATGACAATTTCATGGCATTTTAAATTTATTCTCTTATGCTGTTTTATGATTTTATAATTAAAGGAAGAACGAATCAGAAATCATGCATCGAATGAAATAAATTAATGTACGCAGGAGATAATTGATGTTATTTCCTTTCATTAGTTTTTCTCGTAATTATTCTCCAATAATCAATATTCATATTATCAATTATTAATGTGTACTCGATGATTGATTAGTTCCTATTATAAAATACAGCATATTATTTTAGTAATTTTCTTCATTTCCTATTTTCTATTAAAAGTTGGAACACGTTTACCATCAAAAGCATTAAAGATCTCGTTGAAAAGAAACTTCCAAAAAATCTGGAAACGCGACAACTTTCAAAAAGTCTGGTTTCACGTAGGAAAAGGATCAAAATGTTTTAATTTATCCAATTAGTGCGAATGGCACGTAATTTCCCGAGCAACGAAATAATCGAAACAATTAATAGCATCCTATATAATATTTATGTATATGTGCTCGCGGATTATTTCATAATTCACCGCGTAAATTTCATAAATTCCTGCTATTAAAGGTATTGATTAATATTCTACTTACGGTTCCGTTCAATTGCTTAAACGAGGCGAATTACCTGCATCATTAATGTTATCACGCGGGGGGCCAAATAACAGCCTCGAGATTTCGTTGCATCCCGATCGTAAATAGTCCGTGGAATAATACCGGGGGTCGTGGCACTCGAATGTACAGTGGCGGTGGTGCACAACCCTCTATTGGCAGTCATGGGGGTTTGATCGAAAGCACCCACGGTCAAGAGCAACTATTTTCTCAACTTTACGACCCACCCACTCGACGTTTACGCTCGCACCCTCCTGGAAATGGCTACAAGGTTGCCAACACTCCACGCTCGATACTTTCGCGGAGATCACTGCCAGCAATAAATGGGAATTATTTTCAAATAAATCGTACGTGCTTTGTTATGGCAAATAAAAAAAATTTGGGGTAGAGGGTTGTTGAGTTGTCCATTTGGAAAATGATCTGTTTCATTTAATTAAAAAATAAAGAAATGAAATCGTCATCTGTTGTAAATTCGAAATAAATAGTTTGCATTATTTGGATCAACCCCTATGCTATAAAATACTTTTATTTTTTTCTTTCTTTCCACCCCAACTTTTGCTCACCTATTTTCTGAGAATCTTGGAGTCACGTACGTCTAAAGACATTGCCCATGCTCTCCCAATCCCCTTCTGGCTCCCAAGTGTTCTTTGTTCACATATAAACCTATTTCAGTCTCTCCAAGTACCTCCAGTGTTTCTTCGCGTAGGGTGAGGAAAAATCACCCTCGGTGTAGGAATAATTATAAAACCATCTCTGATGATTGATTTCCATTCTCCAAAGCTTTTCCTTTCATCGATTGCACGTACCTTGTTTTCTTTTTCCTCGGACGTTTATCTTCTGGAAAGTGTTATTCAAACGTACTGTCAAGCATAGTTAAAGTGGCCATTTTATATTTTTAATTTATATAATTACCGTTTTGTTCTTATCAAGAGGATTTTATACAACCAAGAAACAGAAACGTGATTATGGTATTGGATACCGATAATCTGCATAAAACGCGTGCAATTATCGGTTCGTTTCCTCGTTCATTCAATTTCTGGAAAATTACAGTTTCCAAGCTCGCAAACTCACCGCTTAAAACCTTCTCTCCGATCGAAAATAACGAAACGCAAGTATTGCCTGGAAAACAGAGTGAATCCAATTAATTCAACCGTCTGTCGACATTTTTCACTTTCGTAACGACTCCGGTACGAATCCAATCTCTTATCCGTATTCAAAACCAGTTCTGAATTTTTTATCATTTTTCTGATATAAATTTTGGCTACCATACTCGTCATTCTATCGGTCATTTTGCACGAGACGAATTAGATCGTCAATCATGAAATTTGACTGATGAAAAATAAATTATAACAACGAAAATCCTTCGCGAGTGAAATTTCATCTCGTTCCACTTTCATAATGGCTTTTAAACGTTTCACAAGAACTGTTCTCGCCTCATTTAACTTGGCCCATGGTTTCTTTTTGATAATATTTGCAACATAATTAGTGAACGTTTCAACGAACTGAATGCTCGCAACCGATGCAGCGAGTATTTTAATTGCATTCGAGTTCTTCCTTGATTCACTAACCTCACTACACCATTTGGCGGAATTAAAACAGTCCACCGAGGATAATTGTAATTACTGGAGCTAAGGGTAACTCCCCTGTCCTTAATGTTTGAATTGTAATCTTTTGCTATTTTATTTCAAAGCGAACGATCTTTTTCTTCATTTTCTCGTTAAGAACCATTAAATTCCTTTCAAGCGAATGGTATATGGGAAATCTCTAAATTTACATTTCAAAAGTAGAAAGTATCAAATTCACTGCAGTAATTACCACTTCCTTAACCCATTCCGGAGGTCGAAAGTTATATTTTCATGGAAATTTGTGTGCAAATTGTATAATCAAAGGAAGCTATTCAGCCTTTCTAGATGTACGCGTTCTTATTTTCATTTTGTTCCTATTAAAATTACTATGCACATTAAAATATCTTAAACTATGTCGACTAAAGGTGTAATGTTAACCGTATCAATAATTAACAGTCGCTGAAACTTAGGAAAACCACGATCCGGCGAGCGCATTCACAATTCTCGCGAGCAAGTAGTAAAAGTCGGAATTGGTCAGACCGGCGGTTAAACTGTTGACAAACCCCCTGGAACAAAGAATCCAGCAGCCGGGTACGTTCAAATAGAACATTATAAACGTTCGTAAAACCAAGTACATGGAATTTTTCACGAATTCAAGTGCAACTGAAAGAAAAGAATATTTCAGTAGCAATTAGAATATTTTCCATTGTGTTACGCGTAATATTTATAAGTATTCTTTTCTTTCTTTTCTTTCTTCCAGTAGTTACATCATTTATCATTTCAATCCCTTCATTAATGCGAGTGCTATCGTAGCGAGCAGTGAAATCGATAAACGCTTGCAAAATTAACTTCCTTCGTTTCGCAAGAAAAGAACAATCTCTGGTAATTTAAAATATTTATCGAAGTCTCAGCTTCGTCTCTCGAACATTGAATTATTTCTCAGTCCACTGATTTCTTCGGGTAGCGAGCTTGAGAAATATGGAGCGCGAGAAAGACGTAAAATTCTAACGTTTTTCAAGACAGATCCGCCGTCACAGAGCAGTCGAAACGAACGATTGTTTATAAATACACCGAGTGCAAATGATACTAAATGGTTTGATCCGTGCTGCAGTCGGGCCATGTGTCTGACTAGCGATTATTTTCTTAACGTTCCAATTAGCGTACCTCATCCGATTCCATCATACTTTCTCGACAAGGAAATGGTCGACCGTTAAATCGATTGCGTCGGATGCGAATATATCCGTTCATTTTTCTTCGAGAACGGAAACGGATATATTCCCGTGCCGTCGAGGCTTGCTCCGTGTAGGAATTCATGTCAACTCGTAAGCGATGCATCCGTTTCCGGGAATATTTCTTCTGGTATTAAGATTGTATATACTATATTTCATCGGGTTCTTCTTCTCGACTTTTGTGCATAATAAAATTGTACATATGCGTTATTCTACCGGTAGAAATATTGGAGTATACACATGTCACGAGGGCATATTTGAAATTGCAATTTCACGTTGAAGATGGATCGAATTATCTTCGATTTATTTTTTTATGCAAAACTTATAAAAGGTGCATAATGTATCTACTTTAAGAAACTCACAAAGATTGTCTTCTTTGTAGACTTTCTATCTATATTCAAAACATATCAGTCCATGGAAACTTCTTATTCCCCTTGGTTTCAATTTCTATTCTTCATTTCCGAGTCTGTTTCTTGAAAATTGTGAAACTTTCCGGTCAGAAATTATTCTTAATGAAAAGCAGAAATACAAGATCATTCGTAATAATCTGTATCGTTATTCCACTCGCGTGTTCCTTTATTACTCTTGGGGTGTAAGAACGCAACCTTGAGTCAAGTAATTTATGATCTTTTCGAGTGTTAATCTTTATTATAGTTTTACGAGCATGTACTGGTAACGAATAGAGCAATTAAGAAAAGCTATATCATTTTTTCATTTTGAATTGCTCTTTACCTTGATCAAAAGATAAATATTCAAATTCTATATCGGTAAAGATAAAAGAAAAGGTAATAGAACTAAGATAATATGAAAACATCCATTTTATGGTAATACTCAGTCGTGATAATTAATTAATCCCATGGAAGGTTTATCAAAACGTGGCATCATTACATAACACGCGCATGTTGCATCGCTACATTGCACGAGCTACTTGAAACCTCATGTGAGCAATTAATCATTGAAATGCTTAGAAACGTAGCGCAAGAAAAATTGCCTCGAGACTAAAGCTGGTGATACAAGTGAAAGGTTAGCAACGACTAATTCGAAGCGATTTATCGTAGCTACGAAGGACGACTTTTCTACAACCGCCAATGGCGTGGAAAATGGTCTCGACGAAAATTACCTCGCAAGCTTCGTAGAAAACATTTCCAGCCGAAGCGGATTTCCATGATTTTAGAGTACTTTTTTTGCATTCTAGAAATTCAGCATTTCGCCGCGTCGAATACGATGAAAATTAAAGCGTGACGCGAAAAAGCCCCGCGAGAACCCGAATCTGCTCGAAGCTGTCGCGAGTTTTTCGATTCGACGGAACTTCTACGTCCGCGGGAAACATGTCACGTGATCGATTTACTATCATCGATAGTCGAATCTTAATTAAGATTTATTATTCTTCGAAAATGAGAACAGACTTCTGTAAAGTTTCAGAATCCAAAGACAGAATTTCATTAAAATCATTTGACCATTTAAAAATATTCTTGTTCCAGTGCAACGACCCTTTATTTCTTCCTGGAAACCCATAATAATAATCGATCCGTATATTATCCATGGCTAATTCACGAAAAACACGAACGTCGTTGGCATATAAAAGCTTTCGATACAGGTCGTATATATACCCGACCTAATCCTATCGCGACCTGTATCGCACTTAGCCTCGTTTAATGGTCCTAAATGTCTCGGACTCGATTTACGAGCAGCCAGGACTGTCTTCTCGTGCGCGCGAGACTACCCCATCGGAACGCCTCATCGTCGAGAATAAATACCATTGTTAGATGTCTATCCAATCGTGGCCAACGTCCGTTCGTGATTGAAACTGAGATATAAAAACGAGTTTATAGTCAGATTGAGCCGAGGGCGTTATTGGACTGTTTCCCTTTTCCCGTAGAGGAGTTATAGGAGCAGGTGAAGAAAACCGCTCGGGGGTAAAAATGTTCCGGTCGAGGGTCAACGCGAGACGAATGTTTCTTCGCAAGAAGATCTTCTTTTCAAGTTTTTTATTAAATTGATATGCTTTATACTTTCCGACCTTAAACCGATTTCAAATATTTTGACGATTGGAACGTTTAGCTTCTGGGGAGAATCGTTTCGGTATCAATCTTTCCAAGACGACAATTTAATAGCTCGAATTTTAGATGCGATGCTCGTTTGTTAGACTTTCAGACGCGTTAAAGAATGAGTCTGACTAACCTGGAAGGTCGTATTATTGTCTCCGACCGAGCAGAACGTAAATTTACGATGGTGCGGCTTTTCTTCAGCGAGATAAATTTGTTGGAACTATCTTTGCTGATCTCAGATTGCGCGTGCGTTGAAAATACAACCACGCATTGTCTTATAGAGGAGACACACGACGAGGGTGAAGTGTGCTTTTAGCATTATGCAGCTTGCGAAAGAGTCTCGCCCCGGGAAATGCTTAAGTGTATTCCTTTTTCTGCGACTTACGGGATGAAACTCTGGCCGGATGATTTTATGGAGACCTCGTTTTTTTATATTAAATTAGTTTTCTCTTCGAAAAAGGTGTTTCAGTGCTTTTCACTGAGAAATTGAAATGCTTTGTTAACACCTTCCAAATTTTAAAATTTATAGCAGATTCTGAAGTTAGGAATAAAAATTCTATTACAAAAATCTGAGATTCTGTTCTTGAAACAATGTTACATTATCTATGTAGCTACTTTCATTAGGAGTTTAACGAGGGGTCCATATTACATCATGAAAGTGGCATCAACGTATAACGACCACTTTCAGTAGAAGCTACGAAGCTCGAGAAGGGAGGCCTCTTTACGAGGTTCAGTAATTCTATAAAAACCCACTGTACACCATCCGTTTCCTCCATCAAACGCAGTCAAAAGGAGATTTCGTGCACAAAAGGCCAAGGTGTTACTTTAAAGACATCCTACCAGATGCTAATATTAACGAACCGTCTACACCGCAAGCTCACAGTCTCTCTAGAAAAGAAGTTATAATAAATGGTATTAAAAGAATGGAAAAGATGGTATTACAAGCCTCGAAGCGAGTCGTTTGCAGCTTCCTCGGTATTTGTCGCGCACAATACAAAGAAAAAAAAAAAAAGAAGGAAACATCCGAGGAATCGTCAGGTCCCCGTTAATGAGGTCACGTAGCAGCGGTGCACATTTTGCTCTTTGCATCGCAAGTTTATCGATAAGGTTTCGTATAAAGCGCGCACACACAAGAAGCGGAACTCTCATTAAGCGATCGCGAACTGTTGCAAAGAATCCACCTTTCTCATTAAGCTTCTTCGAACAGGATCTCTATACCCACGACCTTCTCGGCGCGCTTCAACGATTTCCGATCGTTCTGTTAAAAATACGCGAGGCTGATACAATTTTCCCCCGGTTCACGTTCCTCCACGTATCCGGGAATTATTTACCCATTTACCCTCGTTCCAGCCCATTTGCCGCTAACTCGTGCTAACTAGCGGATTCTTTTTCCATTTGCAGCCCCGTGAAACCGTCCGCGGCCATTGGCCACCGCCGGCACACCATCAAAATGTGAAACGCTACTACGAATTCTATTGGAACAAACGGGACCAGACACCAGGGTAAAACGAAACCATGTTCAAAGCCCTTACCACGGTATCACCGTTGGATTCATGGACAGTACCGTCCACGTCGTCGATCCTCAGGGTGACGTCGGAAATATCATCGGCCACCAAGTATTCCAGCATAGGAAGCGTGTACGAGGTGATCAATGATACGATACTGAAGGAGGATGACAACAAGGAGGAAGAGTACACGCCGTATCGCGAACGACCAGAGACGTATATCGTGCCGGTGGTGTTTCTACTTATATTGCTGATCGGGCTAACCGGAAACGGGGTGCTGGTGCTCACTATACTCCGACACAGAAACATGAGGAACGTTCCTAATATTTATGTTTTCTCCCTGGCGCTTGGAGATCTCCTGGCACGTGTTCATTGTTATTCTACAAGTTACATCTTATTTCATCTTACGAATACTATGGAGCAGACTTTGCCTTATCCGTTTCACCCACCCCACAGTCTGCTCCACCTGTCGTTTCTTCCATTATCTGAAAAATTTCCTCAACAATGCATTGCAGGTGATAGTTACGTGCGTGCCGTTTACCTTCACCGTCTACATTTTAGACTCTTGGCCCTTCGGGCTGGTGCTTTGCAAAGTTTCCGAGTGCGCCAAAGACATCTCCATCGGGGTCTCGGTGTTCACATTAACGGCACTCTCGGCGGACAGATTTTTCGCTATCGTGGATCCGATGAGGAAACTCCACGCCACCGGTATGATGCTTTAATTTCATCCTCGGATTTTTCGAATCAAGTGCCGGAAAAGGACTATGCGGAACGATTGTAAATTAATGCCGAGCAAACACCAGCAACGTTTACTCTGTCAGATAAAAAGAAATCTTCGTTTTGTGTTTCGAGTAGCGTTAATGACGCTCGTTTCAATGATTAATGAACTGTTACGAGCTGATCCTCTTTAACTCCGTGCAGCATTTTCTGAGAACAGAACAAAGAGGAAAATTTGTAATTCAGAAGCATATCTTGAGAATTTCAAAATTTCTATTATGAATTGAAACAATTCGAGCATTTCCGTTTATGCACGTTGCAGAATTGTTATTTTTTGAATTATTTCTGAAACCTTTCTTGAGTTTGCAATGTTTCCCTTTCGATATTTGAACCGTGGCAACTCGTAAACGGAACGTTTCAGGTGTCGTAAACGAAAACTGGAATACGTATCGGCAGAACAGCACGGATGTTACGTCTCGATTGCACGTTTTATTGTTCAAGGTACAGGGAGGCAGGCAACGGGTTTCGCGATCATCGTTGCTGCGATGATTTGGCTGTTAGCCATTCTGTGCGCTATTCCAGCTTCTTTTTCCTACATCAAAGTATTCCGGGTGAACAGGAACGTGACCTTTCGCGTGAGTTTAATAAGACAATTATATTTATCGCTATCTTTATCGATCGTTATCTTTACCTTGCAATTCGTTTGTCATTTCTCTCCGGCAACCGGGAAAATCGTGTCTCAGACACGAATATAAGTTCCCCGCTTTGCTTTCGCCCGGCAAAAAGTTCTTGAATTTGACGCGTGTTTTTGAAGGCCTGCTATCCATTCCGGGAAGAGTTCGGCCCGAGATATCCTAAAACCATCGTCGTCTGTCGTTTCTTCATCTACTATGCGACGCCGCTTACCATCATCGCCGTTTTTTACATTCTGATGGCCAGACACCTGGTGAGAAGTACCAGAAATATACCTGGAGAGATGCAGGGTCAGGTGAGTCTTTTGAATATTTTTTTTTTAAATGTAAGAGGCTCTTTGTGACAGCTACGTCTTTGTGGCATTTTTTATTTTAAGGCAGCGTACGTGTTTAATTGCAAAAAAGAAAAAAATGGTAACATGCAACTTTGGACTTTCAGTTTTTAAGCTCAACCTAAATTTTTATACGGAGCAGAGTAATTCAGACTTTTCTTATCGGTGCTTCTGCGAGCATCAATTATAATTTCTGTGTGATTAAAGAGGCCCTTTCCACCTGGTCGTTTGTAAAATCTTCAAATTTGAACTGCCACGCGAACAGATTGGCAAACTTCTTACAACTATAACGACCTACAGATCCCATCAAACTCGACGAGCGAGTATCAACTTTCGTAAGAGCTCGTGGAATCCATTGATTCTTCTCAATTTTCTCCACCATTGCCGCAGGAACTTTACACCTTTCCTGGTTTATTAGAGATCACGTCGCTGGAAGTTTCCATTAAACGCGGGATCAAAGTTCGAGCAGTAGAAAAGGAATTAAAATTTAACGCTTCGACTTTGACACTTAGCTTTCTCCTTCGCTATTATTTGTCTGGTCGGTAATTACGAAAGTTCTTATCGTTTGATTTCAGGTGAGACAAGTGAAAGCACGAAAGAAGGTAGCGAAAATGGTGATGACATTCGTGATAGTTTTTGCGGTGTGTTTCCTCCCTCAGCACGTGTTCATGCTGTGGTTTTACATTCACCCGTCGGCACAAGATGATTACAACGTTGTCTGGCATTATTTTCGAATACTCAGCTTTTGTCTGGCGTTCATCAACAGTTGCATCAACCCCATAGCTCTGTATTGGGTGAGCGGCACGTTCAGGAAATACTTCGACAGGTAATTCAATCAACTCAGACACGGTTTTTCACGCTTCGAACGTTCGAATTTTATAAACGGATCCGATACTTGCAACTTCCAGCTACGCTCAATTAAACCGCTTAACCAAGCGTTAATGAACACTCTAATTTCAAGCTAAAGTATCGAATCGACCCACGTGGTACTTTTATAAATACCACAGAATTTGATGAAAATTTATGGGCAATCAATGCCCAGGCAAAATCAATTGGCGATGCGAAACAATTAATTTGTCACGCGGGGTCCCGTCACGTTTTAAAGCTTGACAAAATTACTCGTTATTGCGATGTCATTTTATACGGTATATCGAAGTCCAATCTGGTCCAAAATAGGATCATTAAATCGAAATTGATTTTTTAAATTAATTGTTTGAATTGAACGTAGTCTTCGAAGTGGTAGCTCTAGCTAATTAAGTTCTGGTAATTTGAAATGGGGTGGTTATACATATTCCGAACAACGGTGAAGTTTAATTGTTAAAGGGAGATGAACTTTGTCAAAGGTACCTGCTTTGTTGCGTGCCGAGGAGGATTCGCAGACGACAACGTCGTTCATCAGACCTGAGTTCACGGGGTCGGGGTCAAAGTATCACGTTGATGAGCTCTAAAAGGTACATGGGTGATTCTCGTCGAGGACAACGAAGCACCGTGCATATGTCCATCCTTGGTAATGACGTTAGGGCCAGCCTTCCAAGCAAGGAACAAGAGACGACCATTAGTTTAACCGCGTGTCCAAATGGCGTTGATGATGATCCGAGAAGTTATCGAAATTCGACCATCGAACCGCCCATCAATCACGATTGCTCGTTAAAATCCAAGGACTGAACGATTCAGCGATTCCTTGATAGCTGGTAATTTATTTTGTCTTTTTAAGTGAACGAGGACTTCGTTGATTGAGTTGAATAAACTGTGATCATTTCTCGAACGATTACCTCATACTGTGAAATGAAAAAGTGTTGAAATTTGAATGAATGTAAAAGAAGAGCAAGAAAAAGTGTGAGTAATTATTTTTAATTAATATTACTTAGATTAAGATTATGGAATTCGATGAACATCAGGATGGAATATCATCTGTCATTTTGTGATTATCATTGATTTCTTCTCGATGCACCAATCGTCGAATCTAGAATTAGACACGGAAGCAATTTGTAAATCGAATCGATGTGGCACGTAAGTGTACATTCAAAGCACATTCATTTTGTGAATAAAATTTAGACATCGAACCTTGTTGTTTTCATATTTCCTTTTCCACATAAAATATCTGACTGGTAGAGAAAAGTATTCGAACAGTTTGTTCGTAGTTCGAACAAGTATAGATTGGTGGTGATAAATAACTTCATAAAACACTCAGTGTATATTCTGCAGTGAATAATATTTACTATTGGGATGAGAAATAGCATTGTTTATTACGGTGCTCAAACTTTTTCTGTAAATCAAATAAATGTTCGGATATGTTTCTTGTGCAATACACAATGCTTCTCAAAAGTGTTTGCTATTCTGTGGAATATTTATGTCAAATTATTATTCACTTTTCAAATTGAAAATATTTACCTTAATATAAAATTTTGATCAATTCTATCTGCATGAAATCACTAACGCAATTTTAATACCGTTCATTTGCTATTTTGTCTAAATGAAATTCCAATAAAGTCGATCGTGATCGATGGACATCGATACTTCGGTTCTTCCCCTTTATTCGATCTGCGTGTTCCCTATCGGCTCACCGTTTAATTCGATTTTGATTCGCCAGCAATTTCTCTCTTTCACTCCGTCGCCATGGTACAATATTTTTCGCTCAACATCGCCAGCGATGCGGTGTTTCATGGTCGGTTCCCAACGATCGAGATCGAAATCCTTGGAAACTCGTCGACGCTGCTCTCCAGGAACGGGGTGTCCTTTTAAAAAGCGCCATAAATTCAACTTCAGGACACGGCAGGGGTTATCCTCGAAGATATCAAGCATTCCCTGAACAGCAGAGAATCGTTTCACCAGGGATTTGTCGACGCTGCACACTCGTCCATTCAAAATCTCATCTACTTCTGACCTTCCGACGCTCGTAACAGCATTCTAGTTGCATGACTGTCCGGGGACCGAGAACTATGTCAGCCAAACATGTATTCAAACGAGTACGACGACGGTTCGCTTATGAATTCTTATATTAAATGGAGTACAAGGTAGATGTCGCTTCTCCTTTAGTACTCGTTTGTTTTCTTTTTCAGTCGTTAGGAGATAGTTTCGTTGTACGCGATCATGAATCTCTGTCTAAAGATTTTACACAAGTGAATTTTTTGCACAGATTAGCAAGACTCCATCAACGTACCCTGAGGATCGTCCAGGAGTACGAGCACATGCACCGCGACGACGAAGGTCCGTGGTCGAACTGAAGTAATCCCAGTATTGTTAAATAACTAGGTTAAATTTCCAGAAGAACTTGTTTCACCATAGTACTTCCTGTGCTTCGATTAACGTTGAGGAATAAATTCTCCATTCATCGTCTAAAGTTCGGGAGTTTAATTATTGAGCTTTCTTCGCGAGATCGATGCTGCTTGGTTCACTTCTTATTTCAAATTCTTTTGTAGTATGCTGCAAATTTTTAAGCACTACTTTGTGTATTTTATCGAATTTATTATATAACGATACTGGTAACTGATCGAACTGATACTCGGTGAAATTGCTCACACAGGTGTGAAAAGTAATTAAAGTAAATCTAAGCTTCAGAGATTAACACATTCTTGAGACGTTGCCTGCTAATTAACGAGTCAATTAAAGCTTCGAATCAGCACATTCTGGGAACACTGTGAGATGTCCACAAGTATTTCCATTCACATCAGAAGTACAGGAAAAATTCCCGTTTCGTAGATTCAATTGTCAGCTTCAAAATTCGGATCTCCTCGGTTTATTCGCTTTAACCGAGAAATATGTGTGAAATTCCCATTTCATCGGCGAGCTTCGGAATGTACGAATTACTCTCTCGCTTGTTCGTTCACGCCGAAATATTCACGAATTTTTGATTAATTTTAGGGTGTCCGTGAAAACTTCCACCGCGTTGAAAGATAAAATAAATTTCACATTCCGAATCCACTCTTTCTCACCGAGTTTCATCTCCATCAGTCACTTCCTTGCAAACTTCTCCCCGATTCGGACAACGAAACCACTTTCTCGATGATGCGGTTTCATTGTTAGTCGGACGAGCGTAGTGTCCATCCGTTTCCGGTAATAAAGGGAAACGCAGTAAATGTTTAATCTTCGAGCAGACAAACGATCTCGACAGAGAGCGAGGAGGTGAAGGCCGACGAGGAGTTCTGCTCGAAATGCAGAGGAGTGACCACAGATGGGGAAGAGAACACAGCTTCGTTTCCTCATATCCAAGATCTCTGTCCAGCAGACAGGAAAAGGATAGCCCAGCTGGTTAAGCAGTTAATCAAGTAAACACTGTACACCCTTTCTATTTCATGCTTTTTTATTCTATAGAAATTTTCCCTTTTATTTACTGGTTGCCACATCTGGCAACAGACTTTTTCCTTTTTGTGTGCTTACTGCCACAGGTGGTCTCGTATAATTGTAACAGAATTAAGAATGACCCCTTTTGCTCCATAATTACTCCTATCAAATTTTATCGACAACAATACACATTGTTATTAACCATCATATAAGAGGATCAATGATTCATCGAATTCGAAGAAACTTATAATGAGAAACGATTAGCATGAATTCCTGCTAGCTATTAAAAGTTTGATCATGTAATTCGTGTTCGGCTTACCGACGAGTTGAAATAGCCGTTGGGAACGATTCCATTCGTTGTTCGAACACGAAGAATTAAATGGAGATTATCCTTCGACGATTTGTGTACGCGAATCCTTTTCGATTACACTTTGTTAAACAATTTTCTTTCAATTGAGAATATTTTTTATTCACCCGAGAGTTGAACGGATGTCCGATTTTTATGTAATAAATTAATTTTCACCCCCTGTTACCGAGTTTCTAATAGGAAACCTTGCTCAATGGTCGAACCAGAGAGAGAAAATAAATTAGACTGTGGTTGCAATTTTCGCTTGAAGCCCCGTAGGGAAATTCTGATTATTCTTTTTTTTTTTTAAACTATTTAACTTGTAGGTGTTTTTCACGCAGGTGCACCAAGGAGATGCGAAACGCGAAGTCTGAATTGGCTGTCAGTGAATCTGAGAAGGAGGCCATGAAGAATCAGTACCAAATGATGCTGGATCGTCGAGAAACAGAGAAGAAACAATTGGAATATCAGGTAATTAAAACCTGATTAATTAGATAATCCTTTCTGATTTGGTTCTTTCAACAGTTGAACCAAGCACAAGGGGAAACGAACGAATTGAAGACTCGAATTTCCCGAATTCTCGAGCTACTGACACGACAGATCGCCGCGCAGGAGAAACAATTTTTAGAACTCACCGAAACAGTAAGAGATTTAGTGCGGGAAAAATCCATGTTACAAAACGTTCTCGTTGAAAAGCAGACAGAAAGCAATACCCTGAGGGGCAAGTTTCAAAGAACAAAAGAGCTACTTGAAGCGGAGAGATTGGAGAGATGTAAGAACGTGGTGGAGATGGTTCATCGAGCTTGTCAAACCGATCTATCAGAGATAGCACTGTAAGAAGATTTTATTACTATAGTATACTTAAGAGGACAAAATCGTGACGATTCTTTTAGATTTTATCTTCTTTCTACCTTTCATCCTGAGAAACTCAATTAAAACTTTTGAAAAATATAATAGAAGTATCCTTTGGTATTTAAAAATTTTCTATAATATTAATTATTTCAGTTTTGATAAGAAAAGCGTTCAGGGAGAATGCGATAAAGAATCCACCTCGAGTCGTTCGCAAAAGGTACGAATAAAGAGGAGAAATGATTTAGAAGAAGCGTCAACTGAAAGTATATTGTTGAGGGAACTATTCTTCAGGAGGCCGAGTGTCGAGGAAAACGGAGCTTTAGATGTCATACCAGTTCTGTCGGAAACAGATTTGCAAACGAAACGTTCCAACTCTATTCCTTTTATTTGATCTGTTACTCAAACTTTTGGAATTTTATTCGCATGAAATAAATCATACAACTTGATACAATCACTGCAAATTTACTTTGAAACTCTCATTCCATGATTTTGAAATAGTGCTGCTATCGCCATCTTACAATAAGCGTCAAAGATAACGAAAAGCGAGATAGCGTTTTTTAAATAAAATAAATGACTTTTGTACTTTTCTAATTAGTAGAATCTTTTACTCTCGCGATGTAATTCGAAAAATGGCACCACGGTTTGCTTGAAGTGTTTAAATAATTGAAATCGATGGGCACTGAGATAGTATTAGTCATTTAGCGGTATCTCTTTGGTACCAGGGGAACTAGATCTTCTTTACTTTTCCAATGTTATACCCCGTCCAACGAGACCAGACAGTAAATGCGTACAAATTCATGTGCTCGAAGCAGGCCCGAAGTACACAAACCTCGACCGAAAAGTTTGAAGAATTGGAAACTTTAATTTGAAAACATATCCGGATTATAGAATTCGTAAGAAATTTCGCGATGAAGCCAGAGAGGAGGTGTAAGATAGATTTATCATGCTATGGTCCAGAAGCTACTTACCATGACCCGTTTATCCCATTGCCAAAGCTTGATAGACGGGGTAATTGTCATGGTGGGTGGTGAGAATTAGGTGTTAGGGCGGGTCACTATCGTAGCCTCCACGTGGTGTGACCTGGTAATCGATATCGTTTTCTAAAGATAACTTTTAGAATACGATATCGAGCTAAGCGCTACGATTCCTGTTCAAATTAAAATTCCATTTATTTTCTAACATTTTCCTTTGTGATAATATCAATCATCCTGAACTAACACCTGTCTATTTTCTTTCCTTGAAAGGATCCATCGATCCTGTAGCCTTGATGTAATTTATAGGACCATTAAACTACGTCGGTATTTCAGACACAAATTTCCCTAAGATGATTAATCTATTTTACACCTCACATGTGATGCAAGGATACCTACTTTTCCTAGAAATGATACAGCTTTATCACCCTGTGATAAAAATTATCAAAATTTCAATCGCAGCTTCACTACCCTTGCGGAGATGCCGCCAGTGGTTCAATTTTTAAATTGCACATTTGTTTAAAATTGGAAAAATTGAAAAAATAAGATTTTTAAATAACAGAATTGGAAAGTATTTGGAAAGTATTAAACGTTGTTCTGGAAATGTATTTCTAAAAGAAACATTTACTAAGGAATTTAAAATTAAATTCTAATTTCTTTTTTAAAATGGAACTATTCTATTTTTATAAGAATTCTGTGCAATTACTTATCGTTAATTATTCTGCAAGGGTGGTCTCATTCAATAAAACCCTGCTAAAAAAAAAGAAGAAGAAGCTTACCCTGGATATTTCGTTTGTTCTCGTTTTCCGGATCAGTTACATTTTCTATGAAAGCTTCCCACCTGAAATTGGATGTGTTCTCGGCCAATTGCCACATGCATATTCATAGAAGTCCACGCATGTATCCGCGAAAGCGTTCCTGTTCGTTGATATCACTCTAGCCATTCCACACAGACGAGAAATACTCGCTTTTATTGAAATTGTAAAAGATACTTTAACAGAAAAATATTGAGAATTCAATGAATACGAGCAGCTTTTCTCCATTTTCCACGAGTGAAAATTGCGGATCGAAATCTACAAAATAAATGAAAATATATTAAAAGAAAATTAATTACTTCATATCTGGCGAGAAATTACAAACAGCTAATTACACAGAAATTTTGATGAACTGATAATAATACCACAACGCTTCAATGAATTTAAAATGAATATTTTCTGCTCATTGATTTCCATAAAATTAATTGCAACCTGGTAAATGAATTTTGAAAATATTTCTCCATACTCCACCAACAATATTGTCCTACGGAAAATTAATGTTATTTTTAATCATCTGATCTTTATTGGGGAGAATTTGGAAATAATAAATATTGATTTTAATTAAAACCTGTTCATTTTATCAGTGTTGATTAGAAGTGATGGTGATGGTATTTCCCAACCAGTGATTCGAACATTGCTGCAAATATCGTTACTATAATAACATCGACACTGTTTGAGCAACTACATAGCGTTCACGTAGAAAATAATAATTATAACCATTCTAATTATCACACCTATAATAACAACGTTGTAGATTATTGATCATTATTACACTCTATACCTGACTTCCCTATATGTATATTCAAATCAATAAATCTCTGTCTATCTAAAAATAAATAAAAAGTTCTGTTAACAAACATAAATAATTGAATGTCCGGTGAACAAGAAAGCACAGAATGTCGAGTTAACGTCAGCTGGATGGTTCAGCTTATCGTTTTGAAACTGTTGCATTTATTTACATCAGTGATTGCAATGAAATATACATACGAAGCATCGTTGTAAACGTACTGGTTGTTTTCTTCATTCGCTTCTTCTTTTTCTTTATTTCAGAACGTACGTATTCTCTTAAACGCGATTCGTTGTCGAACACGAAACGAACAACAATCCTCTCTAGAATATTGCATCGTCGAAAAAATGACGCAGCCTTAAGCTAATCGAATCGCTGGAAAATCGTATCCTTTTTCTACTGCCACTTAGTATATTTTCCTTCTTCAACTTCTTTCTTTTTGTTGATTCAATTCGCATTTCTGTGTCTTGAGACAATCATTCGATGTTTCATTTTTTGAAAAAATGACAGAATTATTACGTTAATATTGAAAATTTCTTATTTGTTAAATACTTTTTTGCCTATTTAAAGCATTTTAATTTATTAAAAAGAAAATAAATCGTGTTTACGCGACACAGAAATGCAGAATTTCAGTGATTTGCTGTTCGAGAACAACGATGCGAACTCGTGGCTCAAACTGGATCGATCTCTGCCTCTTTTTATTGAACTTCGTCGATACTGTGTGGAGTAACTATAGAAATATCATATTATTTACAGTAGAAGATTCGCATGAAATCGATGAATAATCGTCGGGAGCTACGCTTACGTTTCGACAAAGAGAAATCGACAACGATACGTCGACGTCTAAGTTTATTATTAATGATTTACCTTTAAAATGACAATCGCAGTGGTTTCGTGAGCAGCAACGGAGGAAATGAATGTTTATACATCTGTACACGATAGGTGTTGCGTATACGTATTTATATCGGCGAGCTTTCGAGCGGATCAAGCAACCGGGAACCAAGCAATTAAGTTTAATTAATCCTTGAAACGTTATCCTCTAAGAGATGCAAATTAATTTCAGGATTACACAACTTCGAAGGATGATTTCGTCTTAGAAAGTGCATCGCTATGGCTCGTACAAACGATGAAAATATATTGTTTTTACCTAAATTGAAATAACAAGAGACAATATTATCAGTTTCCCTCTCATAAATCTAAATCGTAATTAAAATTATTGAATAACCAATGGCAATTTTAATAATCTCGTAGGATCAACTGGGTCACCATAAATATTCTCCACATTTTCAATCACGTTCTCCTTGATTCGTCCGCTCGAAATTGGCCTCATCTCCTCTTCCCTTTAGTGGTAGCTAAACGGTAGCAAGTTAAGTGTTTATCATAGACATATCAGAGAATGTAGCTATTTCGAAGAGAACTTTCGTAAGGTAACGCTATCTTAGGAACAATCGCCTCGAAACAATGTCGAGTCACCCTCGAGAGAGGTGGTGTTCTGGAAAAAATCCATTCACGAGCGAAACTCCTCGAGGGTAACTTTGACCTGGAGGAACGTTGGCTGCTCGTAGACTTTCGGGGCCAAACTTGCCGTTCCAGCGGAAAATTTCAATGAAAAACACTACGGATTTTCTAAGGCATGCCTAAGTACGTGATACGATAGTTGAACGCTATCCAAAAGGAGAGGAACATGTTAACTCTTAACTACTATGAACTGTCTGAGATTCTTGCATCCAACTTGCATTTTGTATTCAAATATTTATGCAGCGATTTTTATTAAAGTCTAACAAGTATTATTTCATGACAAATCATTGTCAGAAGTATTTAAGATTTGAAATGAACCATTTAAGAAATGGACAAGCGTCGCTCTGTTCATAGTAATTAAATGTTAACTTAATAACTGTTTTATATACACAAGATGCACACGTCCACGCACACGTTATCACTGTTTCTCGTACTCTCGCACTCGCATGGAAAACGATCGAATTTAAATCCACTGTCAGCGAATTATCCTAGAACCACCGCAAAGCATCCTCTTGAAGGCCTGCCTGAACTCTGGTGAGAATACCGTGTAAATCACAGGGTTCAGGGTGCTGTTGAAGTAGCCCAGCCACAGGAAGACGCTAGCTATCAGCTCCGGTGGCTCACAGACTTCGCAGGTGGCACGAAGCAGAGCTACCAAGAAGAAAGGCAGCCAACAAGCTACGAACGCACCGGTTATTATCGCCAGTGTTTTCGCTGCTTTCCTCTCGCGCTTCGACTCGATTGTTTCGCGTGTTCTCTTGCTGGAAGAGGTGGAATGGCTGCTGGAAGGGTTCGTCACCGTTGTGACGGTTGTGGTTGTCGTCGTTGACACCGTGGATGGTGTTACAGTAGCCGACTGTGTCGTGTTCGCACCGTTGTACGATGACGATTTCTCCGGCGAGATGGACGAGTGGTCCGGCGTGGATCTCGTTATGGTAAATGCCGTCGATTCCTCTCTTGGCCTAAAAATTTTAAACATAATTAATTGAAATAGAGATGAAAGGATCTTGAAGTGAATTATTTTAAATGGACTCCTTGGTAAATGGTATTCCTTGAATTTCGTGGAATACAGTGCTCTCGTGAAGTTGCTTAACAAACGCGACGACGTAATTAATCAGTGCCCAAGAATCAGCCTCACAGAAACGGTGAACAACTTAAGACGTGCCGCTAACGAGTGCGGGTTACGCGTATTTATTCAGAACGACTGAGAAGTGGAACCTTCTTGTGACGAGTCTAAGGATGCCTCTTCTCTCACGAGGTGGTTGCACGATAGTTCCTGGTCTCTTCCTGATCCGCTTCCGTGCAGCTTGAAATATCCTCCAGTACAGAAATAGAATAACCAACAGGGGTACGTAGAAAGTGGCGCAAGTGGCGAAGATCTGCAAAGTATTTTAAAGAACTCCGTGTTAATCCTCGTTTCTAAATAGAAATTTAATTTTGAATTATAACTTCGTCATATTTCACCGAGAACGATACACGAGATTGAAATTTAACTAGATGTTAATCTAATTTTAATTAAAACTTTCCTACGACTAAACTAATTATAGAATAATGTGAGAATGGTTTTGATTTATCAAGAAGCACTCACCTGGTATGCGGGATCCTGCGACACCAGACACGTTCCATCCGCTATACGATCTAAATAATCGGGGTCTTTCCAACCAAGTTGGGGTGCCAACGAGATTCCTAGGGACACCACCCAGACGGTGACGATCAACATACCGATCCTGCGTGGATTCCTCGCCTGGAAGTAAAGAAATTCCATCAGCAGCTATCACACTCAAGAACCACCGTGACTCTCCTCTCCCCGTTCCATATCCCTCGGGATCTTCTTTTGCCCTTCAGACATTTTTATATTCCCGCGTTCAGGATAATATTCCAACACCAAGATATCTCTATATAGAGGAAACACAGCAAACGAGAAATTTGAATGTTTAACATTTTCCTACCTTCTCTTGATTCAGCAGGATAAGAAACGCGAATCACGTGATTATAAATTTATATAAGGTAGGAGAAATATACAAAGCTGCGAATCAGCGTTGAATTTATAATAGTTTCATTTAAAGAGAATTTTCAGTGGAACTTTGAGAATTTCGTAGAATTATTATTTTTCAGATCTTTTACAATTATGCAAAGATTCCTGAAAAGCAATACAACCAGGAGGAATTTGAAATTATTCAGCTTTAATTAAGTTTGGACTATAGTTAAGCTCGTTATTCGTTCGAGATGTCTAGTTTCCTAACAATATCATCTAAATCTCGTCTCGAATCCCAGTGCACTAACTATTTGGAACATGCGGGCACCGGCAGCAGGATATCGCAGGATTTAGATTCGATTAACTATTGATTGTCACTGATAGGATAGCCAGCTTGATTGTCAGGTACAAATGGTACATATAATTCCAAACGCGTTCCTTCGTTACTCCCTCGGTGCAAATTCAATCCTAGAAAATACTAATCTCACCCGACAATAATTACAAGAATATAATTATTGATTTTCTCCAGCTGTAACAAGATATTTCTGCACGAACGGAATGTTTTGTAGGAAAGAAAAAGAGCAAATAGTTTCACGATTGTACACGCAATAATCCTACTAATTGCATCCTCCTCTTTAATTGCATTCCAGGGATCAATACATGACTGTTTTCAGCTGCTATTCTAATATCATTCAGGATACTGTTATTTCTAAGCGTTCTAAGGTTTCTAGTTTTGATTTTGCATTTCTCTGTCGAACCGCGACGGTGTTAATTAACCTGTATATAATTGAGATCGGTGACTGCCCAATATCTGTCGACCGCGATAGCCACCAGATGCAATATCGAGGCAGTGCAGCAGAGAACGTCGCTGCTAGTCCACATGTCGCAAAGCTCCGGCCCCAGCGACCATCCCGAGTTTATCTGGAATAAACGGAATTATCTGTTAGAGAATATATGTGTGTACGTGGCGTAGCGACGTTCGATCGATCGACTCCTATGATCCTGAGGGTGTCTTTAACGAATACCACCACCCCTGACGTCGTCGAGCATCGAACCCTGACAACGTTACGTACAAGATAGTTCAAAAGTTTCGGGTTATTCGATTGGAGGTGGAAAATTAATTTACTAAATAATTTTATTAAGAAATTTTTTTATAATAATAGGTTCAGGACGAAGAGGCCGATACCTTCTAAATTATAATTAATTTTCATTCAGTCACTATGCTTCCATATTGTTTCTCAAAATACAAATACGAAGTCATTAGCGAAACGTCATTTCACTTTGCATTGCTTCGCCACATTGGAGATGAAGTCTAATTACAGCGAATTCTACATGGGAAAATATCCAAATGAAAATACAGTAACAAAGAGTAACGTCGTCAAATTGTAATATAAGCTTGTACAGTGGAAACTGTCGTAACAACAAACGACATAATGAAAATTACCGTGATAGTGGACACGACAGTGGAAGAACTAGGAACTACAACAGCTCGAAACAGCAGTTATCTGGTCATCAACGAGATTCCGTAGACATGAAAATCCTCGCGGTACTCTCTGTGATAAACGATAACTACATGGTATAAGCTCATTTCCAATTTATCGTACGTGCAAACGGTAATATTGTTCATGTAAATAGCGCGTTTCATCACATTTATCGATATACCTCCTCTTTTTTTAAGCTTCCACGAAATTTACTTTCCTTCCGAAGCGTAAAAATATAAATACAGGAATATGTGTTCGTGTTCCATGGAGCAAAAAATTGCAAACAACGGTTTAGTAGGATTTATCTGTCCGATCGATATAAACTCTAGCTGAAATAATCCTTTTTAAATAATACCAAAGCCAGATATTTATAATATCATTAAATAAAACCTTTTACATGTTTATTTAACGCGATTAAAAAAATTCATGGAATAAACTTCACGGTTTACAAAATAACAGTAACAATTTAGAGGAGTAAAAATTTTCTAGCTAAGAGTTTGATGCGACATTTGGAACTATTTTTCATATTTAATAAATATATAAAAACGTTGCGAGTTTAGCTGCACACCTAATACTTTTGAATACAATAGACTTGCAATGTTTGCATATAAAAATCACCTTAAAGGAATAAAAAATTTTATTTGAAGATGCCCGGGATAGATAGAGGGGAGTCTGCCCTTGAAATAGCATTTTGTTGCAAGTCGATATCTCAATCCGTTCCCGAGATACAAGCGTTTAAAGGTGGGCGCAGGATGCAAAAATCGCATGGAGAATGATGAATGACATCTGGGTAACTCGGAACCGCCGTGACCTACATTTTTTCCTGGAAGTGCGTACGTCACTAGTAGTAGTAGTAAAAAATACGCTGACTCACTTGTCAATGGGCAGTCACGTGATCATTGAAGGTTCGGTCAGCCTAGAGTTAGAAAGAGAGGACCGACTGCGCGACAAGGATAAACATAGTAAATTACGAGAAATTAGGTCCAACTTTAAACGACGATATCTTAGGAACGGATGAAGATAGAAAGTTGTATTAAACGTCATTTTATAGAGGAAGGTCTACACTTTATAATGAATGTCATTTTATTACCGTGCTCTAATTATCTTCAGAGTTACAGTGATGCAAATTTTTTAGCAATTTCAATACGCCATAATGAGGTACTTGAAGGAATATCTTGATACATCCAAGACAATTATTGATTACGGCTTAAATGAGGAATACTATTTTATAGAAGAAGATTTTCCAGTTCTAATGGTTATTATTGTATGGAGAAATTCTGAATATTTTCGAAGTTACAGTTCTTTAAAGTTTCAGTAATTTCAATGCTCGGTAATGAGGTGCTTGAAGCGGTTTTATTTAATGCTGGTAATTGGAAAAAAGTTTCTATTGTTTATTTAACAATTAACAAATGAAATTATTTTTTATATAACATTGTGAGTGACGCAGGATATGATATAAGAATGTCAGAGAATATAACTCCATTAAGAAATAAATTACTACTGGTTTAAAATTGCATTTTAAATGGATGGTGTTTCATGACTTTTGTTTGCGATTCACTTTTATACGTCAAGTCAATTTAACTTTTAAGCACTATACTATTGCACGCGACATAACTCAAGCTTCAAACTATTTTGTTAAGAATGCAATATGAATTTCTATTTAACTGTTTTTCACAATCCTCTTATCAAAAGCAAGAAGAAAACAATGAAGTCGAAGTAGTTGTTACAACAAGTGGGCAAAGATTGAAAATACGGCTTTATGGCGAAAGATCCCAGATTGAACCCTTCCAATTGGCCTAGTTATTGTTCAACGATCGCTTATTTCTTTGACGTTCCATGGAACTCTGATCGCAACATGTGGTTGAAAACGCAGACACCACAATGCAATGGCTCACACATTTATGAGTTTTCTCGACACACGGAACAAAAGAGAAGGTTAATAAAAGGAAAAGTGGTTCACTAAAAGGTATTTATCTTTTGAAAGATTTCTGTCATTGAAAAGAAAAAAATACAACTTTCTTTTGAAAGGACACCAGAACTCCTATTTTCTTACCCAATGACAGATTCATTATTGAAGCTTGGTAAAAAACGAAATTTCCAATAATTAAGAAGATCATTTGGTTAATTAAATATCAATAAATCCCAAACGTTAGCTTTTGTAAAGCTCATCTTTATTTTTAGCTGAAAATATATTTTCCATACGAAAAACGAAACAAAATTCATATTACTTTAAATACTTCGAATCTCATTAAAATCAGTCTCCTGTTGTTCTCCTGTTCAGATATTACAAGTCGGTTAATTAAAAATGTCTGGCTTAATTAAAAACGTCAAAAACAGTCGACTTTTCGACACAGTCAACTCGTGAATCTTATTCGCTATGAAATTTATCTCGGACGAAGATTCAGGAAGGGCTTCGCGATACGACTCTGATAAATAATTCATTCGTAATAAATAATAAAAATGGTTAGTACGTCCGGTTGAGAGGCAGCCGGATAGAACGTGTACAGCTTCCATTCAAAGCTGTTCGCGTAGAAATTTTAAATCACGAGAGTGCCGGCAAGTGGTACACTAAGCGAGACGATTGATTTAAAATGTTGTCCCATTTTTCGAGTCCCTGAAGAGCGCTTCGCGTCGCTTACCAAGCGAGTTCCTAAATAAAGCTTCTTCCGTTTAAGTTGCGGAAGACAGTGACTTAGCTTTGATAAAGTCGGTATTTTCCACTAATTTCTAATTTTCATTTAGAATCATTTTTATTTAGTTCTAAATCACCTTGGAACACGTTTAAAATTGTTTCCCTAGTGATATGGTAAATTGTGCACGTTCGATGTTAACGAAGAATCGACCTCGGAATCCTTATTTCCTTACAAATTGAATGGAACGTGCGTGATTCAAGGTAACATCAATAATTTCCAAGTAAATTAGGTAGGCAGCTATCCGACTGTCGTGGACGACCTTTGGACTCGTCACAAATCACGAATTAAACAAGCCTGACATGTAAACTGGCACGGTAACAATTTCAACTAAAATATCAGTACGTAGCATACATGGCCCTATGTCACGAAACGAGGATAACAAAAGAGTTACCATTTTGATCGATTGAAATTCTAAATTAGGACTACGAATAGTAAATTTTCAAACTTTATTATTGTAATATTAATGCTATTCAAAGTTTATCTTCTTCCATTTATTAACTATCTCCCTTTTCGACTCCTTACTGATACTTCCTTCGTAATATTCTGCACCACGTGTCGCCTGTCTTAAACATGTTAAGTATTTCGCAAGAAACGATCGACGAAGGGTATCATATCGAAGGGTATACTGGTTCAAATTCCCAAGACGAGCCTCTTCTTTCCCGGAGATCCATTACACGATGAAGCAAGACGATCGGGAGCCGTGAACGTAATCGCAACACCGTGCTCGTGCATCAATGTGTTGAACATAAGGTATCTGAATACTGGTATCAAGAGACTGGGCATCGAGCTGGGTAGACGGGTTGGAAAGCATTTGTTCGGGTATAATAGAATCTCCGGCTCGGCTGCCACAACGGGCCGGCCTCGTAAATCATCTGCTCGTGTCAGTGCGCAACATACTCGTAAGGAGATTAGGATCGATACCGGTATCTGAATTCCACCAACCGTGGTCACGCTGGGAAACTTTGCCATTTTCTGTAAAGTCTCAACCACGTGGATTCAATTAACCCTTTATCTCAGCTGGAAACTGTACCAGTACCCTTTCATATCAAACGTTGAAATATTTATAGCTTCAACGTGTCTTACACGTGTCCATTTTCATTCCGCTGGTAAACATGTTAATTGTCCAATTTCCATTGCAAGCTTGCTATTTTGAAATGTAAACGCTTCGCGTCGGGCAACTACAGTGCCGAAAGGGTTAATTGTCGTTCCTGTTCCGTTGAAGCTGGCGACACGTAGATTTACGTGTCTCTTGTTCGTTCCTGGACCAAGTCCAAAATTGGGAAGCTTTTGAGATTCAAGAGGAGACCCGTTACATCGATCATTAAATCGTGACGAAGTTTCTATTGAAATTTTATGCCGAAAGAATATCCGTTCATGATGAATATTTGATATTTATTTAACCATCGAGAGAATTGAATTACCGTCTCGAAAGCCTCGGTACTATTGAATGAATGCATGGACGTTAATACGTTCGATTGATTGCTTTCGTGCAAACAACGTCATTGATTTTTTCATAAATTATGTACGCTCTGATTGAAAGCCATCGAAGGTGGAGGTTAAGAGTATTCTCGTCAGACTTTTCAAGTTGCGCAATCAAGTAAACAGCTGAGATTTTAATCGAGAAGGTGGAAATCGATGCCGGGTTTCCGCGCAACAAGTGCCGAAATTGTCAGTAGATTTATCTTTAAAATTAACACGTCTTGTTTATGCATATCCAATCACGTTTTTCATCGATTAATATAGTAAA